CTGTGAAGACGTTTGTGCACACTTACTGCCGAGAAGATGCAACAGGCATAGAGACCCTGTACATGAAGAAGAATGCTCTCAAGAAGGACTTTGAGAGGCTGATGAGCATTATGCACCGGTGTTTGTGGTGCAAAACAAGTTCAACTGATCAGATGAATCACGCCAACTCCAAAGCTCTATATGCTGTTCACAGAGGGATGAACATCAACTGGGGTAAAGTGCTATTTCAATCCATCTCTGAGTCCATCTCCAAGAAGGACAAAAAGACTGGCATGTTCTCTACAAAGATGGGTCATGGACTTCTGATCTCCAGGCTCATCACTAACTCCTTGATAGCTCTCAGAGAAGTCACCTCTGTGGATCACACAAAGACCATCTTCCTCACCATCTCTCCCAAAGTCAACATTGCCATTGCTGCTGAGCTGAAGAAAACGAGCAAGCAGGAGCAGAACAGGAAGAACGTGGTTGAGAAACCTAAGGTTGCCCCCAAGAAGATCTCTAAAAGGGCTGTAACCGCCTCTGAGCAGTCCAAGGAAAAACCTGTTCAAACTCCTAAGAAGAAGTTTAATCAGAGTGCTAACATTGCTCCTTCTGAGAAGATTGAATCAGAGGAGGATGTATCAGAAAAGGAAGAATCAGACTTGGTTCCTCAAATCCCTCCTCCAAAGAAGCAAAAGCAAAAGAGGAGAAGAAGAGCAATCATCAGAAGTGACTCTGATGACTCTGCTTCTGAACACATGCAAAGGAAGAAAAAGAAAGAAAGATCTTCTCCTCAGAAGTCAGAAACTCAGGGGGAACCTGAGCCGGAATCCTTACCAGACATGCCTCTGATGACTCCATCAGAAGTTCATCAAGCATCCCCTATCAGAGAACCTTCCACAGAGTTTCATATGGCTCTGGATAAGCAGTTTGAACGTGTGCTAGCATGGAGAGAATGGAGAATGGGTCCTCTTCAGAAGATTCTTCAATTCTTTCCTTACTATGAAGCTGAGGAAGTTGAAGTCCTCAAGTGGGTGGGAACAGATGATGTCTCCCAATGCTTTGACATTGAATTTCTAGAAGCTATTCTAGAAAAGAAGAAAGCCAACTGCAAAGGCAAGGCTATTCTGATATCTAGCTCACCAGAGGAGCATATCAAGCCTCTATCCGAGCATGAAACTCCCATCTTTGAAGAATGGCTCATCGAAAAGAAGAGGAAGGAATCGCTGAGAAAGTATCCTTATCTCCCTCACTTCCATGGAGAACCATCTTCTGTCAATGATCTAGCTCTGACAATGAAGAATCTGATCAGAGAATGGAGAGCATCTCAATCTGAAGAAACCATCCTTGAAGTAATCCCTAACTCTCCATCTCCATCTCTTCAAATTGTACCAGAACCCCATACCTCACCTCCCAAATCTCTATCCCCTACACCCACAACACCTAACTACACTCCACCACCTTCACCTCAACCTCCATCACGTTCACCCACTCCAACACCCAAGAAAACCCCATCCCCTATCCATCTGAAATCCCCCTCTCCTCACAGAACCCCAACCCCTTCACCTAAGAAGCCCTCACCTAAACAACCATCACCATGTAAACACCTCACTCCCATCAGAAACCGTTCACCATCACCACCACCATCTCCAAAACAATCATCCTCTCAACCTCTACCCTCACCCCAGCAAACACCTCTGCAGATTTCATCATCAGAGCCATCCCCTCAGGCTCCTCCTCAATCCCCTCCTAAATCTGATCCAGTTCTAGCCACCAGTCAAGCTCCTCAAAGCTTCATGGCTGAAATAGAGCACGTGGGACTCCAGCTTGTCAAGGGTATGAATAAAATCCTGGATGCTGAGTATGCCACTGATAATCATCTCACCTCATACAGCGAAAAGCTAGCAGAAGGGATCAATGTGCTGCTCAAAAATGTAGGCATAATTGCTATGGCATTTGAACAGCACAAGGACAAAACTGCAGAAAGTCTGGGAAATATTGCTAAAGAAGTAGATGGAATCAATGCTGTCCTCTTTCATCACTCCAAGGCCATTGAAGAGCAGGATAAAGCAATCAAAGACATCTCTGACTCCATTGATGATCTCCAGTGGTCCTCTGACAAAGCTCGTGAAGAGATTCAGGCTGTAGAAGTACTGAGCAAAGACAATAAAGAACTCTCCATCAAGTTGATCAATAGTGGAAAGGACAGAGATCACAAGCTGACTCTCCTTGAAGCTACCACAAAAGATATTCAGTCTGCAGTCACTAAACAGAAGGAAATCATTGAGGGTCTGGCCTCTGTCACTGGGACTCTGCCTGGGACCCTTGAAGCACTGAAAGAAAGTCAAGCAACTGAGTTCTCTAAGGTTCAACTCCTGCTTGGTGATCTTGCTGATGCCAAAAAGGGGGAAGATGAGAAACCTATCAGAGCTACAGAAGGAACAGAAGGATCAAGCATCAGAGCTCTGACTCCCATCTCTGGTACCCCTGATCCTGCTATTTACTTTGAGAGAGCCAGGCAGAAGCAGATTGCTGCTGGTATTCAAAGACCTACTCCCCCTCGCCCCAAGAAAGGAAAGAAGATAGTCTCCACTTTCACTCTTGCTCAGTGGCTTAACAGTGACCTAGCCAAGCCTGATGCAGCCCAATTCCAAGAAATGAAGAAACATATGACCTCCTATCAAAAGGAAAATCTGATCCTAGATAAGGATGGGACGATTATCATAAACCATGGCGGGTCAATGCAAGAAGCAGAGGCTTGGTGGCGATTGAAAGTGATCCCTGGCAAGGACATCTCAGAAGCCATCAGAAACTACCTAGATTGCAAACTTGAACCTCATTGGAATGAATGTCAGAATCCAAGGAACTTGGCCTCCATCAGAACAAAGGTAAATGCTCTTCTGAAGAAGATTGACGATGCAGAAGTACAACTAGAAGAGGAAGATTCCTAACCCTTTTCTCTTGTTGCTTTCAATATCTTTCTTTAATAAGATAACCAGCTTGCCTCTATTTTGCATGGCAATTTCAAATTATTTCTCTATTGCATTCTGATTATTTATGCTCTGATATCTTGTGTCTTTTCTTATCTTATTTGCGTGATTGATTGTACCTTACTCTTGCTATCTTCCTATGCCAAGTGCCCACCAAGATTTTAAATGGAAGTTTATTTTTAACTTATTTTTCTTTATGGTGAAAGGCACTTCTCTGGAAATAGTTTAAGGGTTTTGGCATCATCAAAAAGGGGGAAATTGTAAGGAATAAATGTAACTAGATTTTGATGATGCTATAGGATTAGAAAGTTAGAGTACCCCCTATTAGATTTTATGTATTAGAATTTTTCAATTGTAAGTAATAGTGTAGTCGACGATCAGAGTTGCTCTGCTTTGGATCAGATCAAAAGTGCATCAGAACTGCTCGACCAGACTTGCTCTAGGAGAACTGCTCCATCAGAGTTCTCTTACCTGAAGTCGATCAGAGTTGCACCATGAGAGTTGCTGATAAACTTGGACATCTGATAGCCGATGAGAACTACAGATCAGAAGTACTCATCAGCGGACCTATCAGAGTCAGAGTTCAGTCAGAGATCAGAACTCCATCAGAACTCAACTTATCAGAAGAACCTGATCAGAGCCCGACGAACACTTAAAAAATTTCAAGCAACATCCAACAGCTCTGAATTCAACGGGTAAAAACATCCAACGGCTAGAAGACTGTGCATGAAAGGAAAGCATTTAATGCACATTAAATGAGCCTGATACGCTGAAGGATTGATTGCAAATGATTGACCAAGGAATCCGGGAAGATATATTATAAAAATAGAAACCTTCCAAAACGGCGGTCAAGTCAACTGTACGCGCATTTAATGCAGTTGTCTCCTCCTCCAACGGGCAGACAACCCCAGTATATAAGCTACACACCGAAGATCAGGAAAAATAACTTTTGCTACAACTTTTGCTCATCATTCAAGCTCTCTTGAGATTCAAATTCTACAACCTTCAACAAGACAAGCTTACGTTGGGAAGAATCAAACTCCAAATCTCTCATCCCCAACAAACAAGCAAAGTTCATCCTGTTCTTCAACACTTCAAGAACTTCATCAAACATCATTTGTAACGAAGCAAGTTGGAGGAAAAACTCTGTTTTTCAAAGGATCTTCTGAAAAGAAGGGCGTCCAAGTAACTGCAGTAGTGAAGTGGTGATACTTCCGGGAAGCTGAGTGAAAGGACCAGCCATCAGGACGTGGAACTGCATCCTGGGTGGCATCTAGGCTTGAAGAAGACGAGGAGTGCTTCTTAAGTGCTAGGATTTAGCTTTGTAACCGATCTACTTCAAAGCTAGTGGAACAGTGGACTAGAGGAACAAGTTGTTCCTTGAACCACTATAAAATATCCGGTGTCATTTACTTTACTGCAATTTATATTTCTGCACTTAGGATATTAACTGATTAACTCTAAGATTTGGAATCTGTGTTCAGCAGATCTTATTTTCAGAGTTATCAGAAAGGCATTCGCCTTAGTATTTTCTGAGGCTACCCGAACAGATCAGAATCCGCTGCCAAGGCCAGTTCTGATATCAGAACCAGCCTTTCTCTGTCTTCAGAATCAGACCTTCTCTGATAAGTCACTTTGGACTTTGAGAAAAATTTGAAAAACCAATCAGTCTATTCACCCCCCCCCCCTCTAGACTGATTACCATATTAAACGGGACCAACAGCTCTTAATCTTGGCAGGAATAGACTCATAGGAGAAATCCCGAAATCCATTTGGAACATATGCACTCTGCGAAACCTGACCATGGATTCCAATCGTCTTAGCGGAAGCTTAACAATATCGACATTATGCCCGAATCACCCTCTGTAGCAGCTATATTTACATCGCAACCAAATCACAGGGTTATTTCCTGATCTTACCATTTTCCCTTCTTTGGCCATATTATCTCTTGCATATAACCTCCTAGATGGGGTCATTTCCGAACATCACTTTGTTACTCTCTCCAAACTATGCCACCTGGGTTTATCTTCTAACAACTTCACTTTTAATGTCACCCCTGCTTGGCTTCCTCCTTTCCGATTGGAAACGATAGCCCTTAGGTCTTGCAAGTTGGGCCCCAAGTTTCCTAATTGGCTTAGAACTCAATTCAATTATAGACGGCTTGACATTTCCAATAGCGGCATCTCAGATTCAATTCCCTCCTGGTTTTGGAATACAACTAAGTTTATGAGTGTTAATGCTTCTCATAACGAAATCACGGGAACATTTGGAAATGGTGGTCAAGCATCAATCAACGGCAATGAACTAGATATGAGTTTCAATAAACTAGAAGGTGCCATTCCAATCTTTTTTTCAATGTGAAAGCACTGTACCTTTCTCAGAATAAGTTCACTGACCTGAACTCCCTATGTGACGTTAAGGCAGCAGCTGGTTTGAAGGTATTGGATATCTCGTTCAATCAACTTTCAGGAACACTTCCAGATTGTTGGTTAAGTCTCCATAGTCTGGAAGTTCTCAACTTGGCAAACAATGACAATCTATCAGGGAGTCTTCCAACTTCCATTGGATTATTAGCTTCCCTGAAGGCATTGCATCTTGACCATAACAATTTTATAGGCACTCTACCTCCATCCATGAAAAACTGCTCCAACTTGGTAGCTTTACACATGGGACACAATAACCTATTTGGACCAATACCAGATTGGGTGGGTGAAAATCCAAAACAGCTTGCAATACTTGTGCTAAGATCCAACCACTTCAATGCAAGTGTACCCACAAGTCTGTGCCGTCTCCAATCTCTTCAACTGTTGGACCTGTCCTTGAACCACATCTCAGGGACTCTTCCTAAATGTCTTTCTAATCTCACTAAAATGGTTGTCCATGAACAAAATCCCAGTGCCAGCATTTCTTATTCCATAGCAGGTAAATCCCATGGTATTGATGAAGCCTTTAGCCCAGATGACGAAATAATAGATGTTGTGTGGAAAGGTAAGGTCACTGAATTCCGAAGTACATTAAAACTCGTAAAGAGTATTGATCTATCATCCAACATGTTGAATGGGGAAGTTCCTACTGAAATCACATTGCTTGTTGGGTTGGTTTCTTTGAACTTATCTCGAAACAACCTAATGGGACAGATTCCTTTAAGGATTGGTAACTTGGCAAACTTAGACTCTCTTGATTTGTCTAATAACCATTTATCTGGTTCCATTCCTCAAAGCCTTGGCCTAATTCATGGCATAAGTGTTCTCAATGTGTCCAACAATAACTTATCAGGAAAAATTCCGAAAGGCACACAACTTCAGAGCTTTAATGCAAGTGCATACGTAGGGAATCCCGAGCTATGTGGAGATCCACTCCCGAACAGCTGTCCAGGAGAGGAAACAACTCATCGTTCTCCACCTCGATTCAGTGAAAAAGAAGAAGATGGTGCTTCTAATAGAGAAGAAACGAATACGATTTTTGGTGGTGAGTTTTATGCAAGCATGGTGATCGGATATGCGGTTGGATTTTTGGGAGTTGTTGGGACAATACTATTCAGCAGGTCATGTAGGTTTGCATATTTCAAAGTCCTTCAGGATGTTGCTAATTGGGCTTATGTTGTGGCTGCAATCCATAAGGCAAAGTTTGTGAGAAGAATTGGGGGTTAACAGGTCAGGCTAAATAATGGTGTCACTTTCAGAATATTTCAACTCCATTTTCAGTTTTCCATATGTTGTTTTTCATTTTTTATTTGATTGTTCATCATTGAGATTGGTTTTTCATGATGTTCTTTCAAGTTTGTCTTTAATATTGCTTTTCTGTAGTTTACATTTATGTGGAGTATCGAGAAGTTTTGACTCTTTTATTCTAGACTTCTAGTCCACTGTGATTAAAATCTTTTCATTCCAATTGTAAGATAACACTTTTTCTAGTGGCATTTCCAGATCAGGGATCTGCACTGGTTCTCCCTGAAGGCCTAGTGGCGATGCGGCGGGGAGGGGTGGCGTTCGTGCAGATAAGGCACAATGGCTGTAGATAAAGTGGTGGTGATGTTGGATGAGGCGGCAGGTAGCACGGCACGGCGCCATTGGCGCCAGTCGTGGCAGCAAAGATGACGGCAGTCTAGTGCCAGACGGTTGCACCATCGTATGTTATTTGTCTCTCTCATATGTGAAGTTTGATTTTATTATTATTTTTTGATATTATTGTTAGGCCCCTCAGACTTTGATGAAATATAGTTTTGATGATGCCATCCTCCCTTGATGTTTAAATTCTCTATTCGATATTGAATGATCATTGTGTGAACTGAAGTATGGTCCAAAAAGGAAGGAAGGTGACAAAATTAGGAATATATAAATTGTGTCACAAAATAAATATACTGGAAATATAAAATGCAATAAGGTAAATTCCTACCTTTCCAGGATATTCAAATCCAATCAGTATATTTATTTTTGTGTTACAATTTTATTATTGTCACTAGTAAAATTGTGACTAATCTTACATGTACATCTTATGTACAAAATTAATTTTACTGGAAATATAAAATGCAATAAGGTAAATCCTTCTTTACCTTAAAAAGGATATTTAAATCCTACCAGTACAAATTAATTTTGTACACAAGGACCAAAGTCACAAATTTTACTTGAAAAGCTGTATAATCACGAGACACTCCAGAGTTGCCTGTGAAGACAAAATCCCACTAGATGGTGAATAGTGCGTAAAAGAACCAAGGAATGGGTTTACATTTCCTGCAAAGCAAGTTGCTCCAATTGCGTCTGAAGATAAGCTGCTCCAACACAAGAAGACGAAAGTACAAAAAGCCTCAACGACATAGATTAAATCCTCTTAACCAACGGAGGAAATTAATCAACCAGAGATGCCTATAAATTCGGGCATAAGCATGAGAAGAAAAACAAGCTCCTGAGTTTACTAAGCAGAGAAATCATACTACACAAAGAAGATATCCAGCAAAAGAGAAAGTGTTCATTAAACTCTGCTCTCTGCTTAGACTCATGCTTCACTAAACCTTCTAGAACAGAAATCCTCATTGATACACTCAGAAAGTTTAGTTTTTAGTTGGAGGCTAGAAATTTGTTTCATATTGAAACTGTTGTAAACACTTATAAGGATAGCTTCATCTAAGTCCTTAAGTGTGGTAGAATAGGATAGAGTACCTTTTGATCCCCACTGGATCAATTGAGAAAAACCTAAAGGATTGAGTAGCTAGGAGTGGTGTGTACTCTCAGTGAAACATCTTGAAGTCTGAGCAAGTTGGTGATAACAGCCAGACGGTCACTAATTGTATTGGGCTGAATGCTTTAGTGGAAATCCATCTGAAAGAGGATGGGACTGGATGTAGGAGGATTACACCACCTCTGAACCAGGATACATCTCGTGTCAATCTTATTTACTCTGATCCAAGATCATCAGAGGACCTCACACAAGAGTCTCTGACTCGAGATCATCAGAGGACCTCACACAAGAGTCTCTGACTCAAGATCATCAGAGTACCTCACTCAAGGGTCTCTGATTCAAGTTCATCAGAGGACCTCATACAAGGGTCTCTGACTCTAAATCATCAGAGGACCTCACTTAAGGGTCTCTGACTCAAGGTTACCAGAGGACCTCACTCAAGGGTCTCTGATTCAAGGTCATCAGAGGATCTCACTGAAAGATCTTCAAAGCAGAGTCTCCATTCTCCTATACACTTCAGTCACTAAAGATAAGTTGTCCTAAATACAAATACCCCTTCCCTCTTATCCTCTCATAAGAAAGTTACCATTCACAGTCAAAAAGAGGTCACAACTTCCGCTGCGATCCTAAATCTCTCAAAAGATTTTAGATCATCATACCTATGAGGGAAACTCTATAAAAATAGCAAAGATCTTTAAAAGTCTATTCACCCCCCCCCCCCCTAGACTTTTACCTCTATCAGGGACCATCAAGTGGTATCAGAGCAGGTGTTCCTAGAGTCAGTTTCTGACTAAGTTTGAACTAAAAATCCAAAACTCACTCATCTCCAAAAACTTTCAAAAATGGACAACCAACTTTCCAAAAATCTCCTGTTCAACTTCAACAAATTTGATGACTGGAAAATCAGAATGAAAGCTCATCTGAGTGCCCTACATGATGAAATGCTAGAAGTCATTACTGATGGACCCATCAAAATCATGAAGGTCATCACATCCAGAACCACTGAAGGAACAGATGATATGTACATTCCAAAACCAAAAATGGAATGGACAACTGAAGATAGGAAGAGAAACAACCTAGACAATGTTGCCAAAGACATCCTCTTCAAAGCTGTTGATGAATCCATATTTCCAAGGATAAGGAAATGTGAAACTGCCAAAGACGTATGGGATGAGTTAACAAAGATTGGAACTGGGGATGAACAAGAAAAGGACAACAAACTAACTATTGCACTCAAGAAGTTTGAAGATTTCAGAATGTTGTCAAATGAATCCATTCATGATATGGAATCCAGATTTCTTAAAATTATTGCAGAGGTCTCTGATCTTGGGAAAACTCTCTCTCAAAAAGAGATCTCTCTCAAAATTTTAAGAGGACTACCATCAAGATGGGATATGAAGGTAACTGCCATGAGAGATAGCAGAGATCTCAGAAGTCTTTCAACAGATAAGCTCTTTAGTGATTTGAAAGCTTATGAGTTTGAAATGAAAGAGATAAGGGATGAAAAGGAGGAAGAGATCAAGACACTGGCCTTAGTGTCTGAACCTGGCACATCAAGATCAACAGAAAAATCACTCAACAATCTTTTCACTGATGAACAATTTGCAATGTTTGTAAGAAAATTCAAAAGGTTCATAAAGAAAGAAGGTTCATCCCCAAAGAAGCCATTTCCTCAACAATCCAGAAGATACAAATCAAGTGAGAATACTATTCTTTGCTACAACTGTAGACAGCCAGGACACTACAAAAATGAGTGCCCTCTCCCATTGGCACACAAATATCAAGGACAGCAGGATGCTACACACAAGGCAGGATTCAAAAACTTCAAAGGCAAACATCAAGCCTTTGTAAGTGAGAAAAAGAATGAAGAATCCCAAAATGATGAAAGCAGCTCAAGTAATGAAAGCTCTTCATCAGAAGACTCTGAAGAAGCACTACTCTGTCTAGGAGTCTGGCAAGATGCTGAGGATACAAGCAGCAGTACATCTCAAAATGACTCACTCAAATGTCTCATGGCAGATAACCACGACAAGGATGTTGAGGTAACCTCCTGTTCTTCCTATTGCTCAAATGATTCTGGACCATCTAGTATTACACTAGAATCTTTACTTCAAGATTTTCAGAAGGTCCAAAATCATCATGTTCTCTTAAGATCTGAAAATGAAAGACTAAAACAAGACACTAAGAACATTCATGATAAACTCTTAGTTGCCTTGTCCAAACTCAATAGCTTGACAGAAGAGAACATTGAGCTAAAAACAAAAATGAATAATCTCAGCCTGACTAGTGAAAATGTTGATCACACTCCTGAGATTATCCTTAAAAAGAAGAACAGAGGTCTTGGATACAAATCACCCACCAAGTACTCAGAAAACCAACTATCCACATCCAATACCATTAAAACAACAACACAAAGCCACCAACACTCCAATTCCCAAACAATTCCCACAAAAAGGAATATGTCAGCTCCCAAACCAAAATCCAAATACCTGTATAAACAAAACTTTCCTATCAAACAAACAAGTTGGCAACTCACCAATAAGACCAACTACCAACCTAAAAGGCAGCAAATTCCACCCAAAAGGAACCTCTCTCCTCCTACATCTAGGAGAAAGAAACTAAACATCTATACAGCTATCCCATATAACTACAACACCCCAAATGGCTATAGACCAGTCTGCTTAGAATTAGATGGTTCTAGATGGGCATGGATGCCTAAACTTGTTCAAGGAAAGAAGCCCACTAACTTGTGGGCTGCTGCTCAACACTGATGAATACAGGAGGGTGCTGGAGCAGCTGACTCAACAGAATGGTACATAGATTCAGGCTGCTCCAGGCACATGACAGGAAGCAAAAGGCTGCTGTCAAACTACATGGCAAGGGAAGGACCCAAAGTGACATTTGGGAATGAAGAAAAGAAAGGAGAAACCAAAGGAGCTGGAGACTTAGTAAGAAGAGGACTTATGATCCAAAACATATCTTATGTTAAGGGTTTAAAGTTCAATTTAATAAGCACAAGCCAGCTTTGTGACAATGGCTATAATGTAACATTCTCCAAAGACATCTGCTTGATCAGAGATGTCAAAAATAATGAAATTGTGCTCACTGGTAGAAGAAGGAAGGACATGTACATTGTTGACTGGAAAACTGCAAAGGAAGGAATCTGCTTAGTAACAAAGGCTGATTCAGATCTAAGTTGGGAATGGCATAACAAGCTCAGCCATCTCAACTTCAAAACCATCAACAAACTGTCCAAGAAAGGATTGGTGATTGGTCTTCCAGATATCAATTACAAAAAGGATCATCTGTGTAATGCATGTCAAAAAGGGAAACAAACAAAAGTACCCTTTAAAAACAAAAATGATGCATCATCAACCAGACCATTGAGCCTACTGCACCTTGACTTGTTTGGACCAATTGACCCAACAAGTTTAAGTGGCAAAAGATACACTCTGGTTGTGGTAGATGATTATTCCAGATTCACATGGACCCTATTCATGAAAAAGAAGAGTGAAACTGAGAAGAAGCTCCCAGAATTAATGAAACTCCTTCAGAATGAAAAGAGCATCTCAATACAAAAAATCCGGTCAGATAGAGGTACTGAATTTCTAAATTCAACAGTAATTCAGTACTGTGAAGAATCCGGAATCCATCACCAAACATCAGCAGCAAGAACACCTCAACAAAATGGTGTTGCTGAAAGAAGGAACAGAACACTCAAGGAAGCTGGAAGGACCATGATTGAAGCAGCCGGTCTACCCAAAAGATTTTGGGCAGAAGCAATAAACACAGCCTGCTACACCCAGAACAGAAGTCTTATTCATAAGACTTACAAGAAGACTCCATATGAGCTATGGAAAGAAAGAAAGCCAAACATCAATTATTTCCATGAATTCGGATGCAAATGTTTTATTCTAAACAATGGAAAAGACTATCTCAAATCATTTGATCCA